CCCCCAGGGGGAATGGCCAGGCCGCAATCCCTTACCGATTCTCCTTGCGATCTTGGGCACGCATACATACATGTCCAGCATGAGTTGAAGCCACTGGGTCCGAGACTCGAACTGAGGTCGACTACATGGGAGTCCAGCGACATAGCCGTTACGCCAACTCCTGGTCTCAAAACTTTTTATTTTTTCATGATTTATTTGTTTATTTTGCTGTAGGGCGCATGCGCTCTCCAGAAAGACAGAGAGAGACAGAGAGACAGAAAGCGAGAAATCACCCCCCAGGGGAGATGGCCACGCCTCAATTCCTTCTCCTCCATTCTTGGGCTCTTGGGCCCGCACGCACATGTGCCCGGCATGAGTTTAAGCCACTGGGTCTGGGACTTGAACTGCAGTCGGCTACATGGGAGTCCAATGACATAGCCATTACGCTAACTGCTGGTCCTGACACTTTTTGTTTTTTTAGAGAGAGATTTTTGTTATAGGGCTTGTGCATTAGCTGGAGAGACAGAAAACAAGAAATCACCCCCCAAGGATGATGACTTGCCACAGTCTCTCCTCCATTATCCTCGTGGGATTTGTGGCTTGCATATACATGTGCCAAGTATGAGTTTTAAGCCTCTAGGTTCGGGACTCGAACTGCGGTCAATTATGTGGGAGTCTAGCTATGTAAACATTTCACCATCTGCATGTCTCAGGCAAAAACGACTAACCGTTTTTTAAAGAATAGTTTTTATTTAATTTAATTTATTCATTTATTTATTCTAATTTGACCGGAGAGAGATGGGAGGGGGAGGGAAGAAGCCACCAGGTCCAGGACTTGAACCGTGGTTGGCCATATGGGAGTGTCCAGTGCATTAATCACTACAACACCTGCTGGTCTTAGGCAAAAACTTCTTAAAAATGTAATAAATTTGCTCTTCATAGGCATCCTTGTATTGTTGCACATTTGAGGAAATACTTTGAAGGGATAAATGCATAGCGATGGAATTGCTGAACCCAGGGTATGAGTATTATAACAGATGTGATCTTGTACCAGCTAATACCCCTGCTGACAGCATTTGTGAATGCTTGTTTCATGGTATAGGTTTAACACAGACACTAGGAACGAAAGGCAGGTTTTTATAATGCAAGATAAGCTTAGAAACTAAGTCTAAACCAGAAATTAAAAAACAAACTATATCCAGGGAGAGTGATATCTTGCCCCTCTCACATGGGGGTTTATTAAATGCCCTCTTTAGGTAGATTTTTATGCACTGACTTGAAAAGATGTCTCAGGGCTAGTGGGGAAAAGCTGTCCACCAAGGTGGCGTGATTTCACTGCCATCAGACGATGTATTGGTGGTAGACCCCATTTTTAAACTGGAACACTGTACATCTAACAGTGTGTCTTTCAGGAGGAGGGGCTTTCTGCTGTCTTGGAAACTATTACAGTACCTGCTCTCCACACAGAACTCTACTGAACCCTGGGACTGTTGTAGGAAAGACTTCTGCTCTCAGTGTTTGTGGTCTAGACTGGGGGAGATGGGCCAGAAACATGTGTCTAAGGCAGTTTTAGAAACTGTTGTAAAGCAGACAATAGGACTGAAAGCAGCTTCTAATCAGGTGGCCACATGGTGCGTATGTGCTGCTGGAGGTGGTTGTGTTATGGAACTGTTTTCCTTTTGACATTCCTGGTGAGTTTGAACTTTTTATAAAGAATAAAGCCCACTGGGAAGCTTCTAGGCAGAAGTTCCCTGATTCTGTAGCAGGCATCCATGGGGCGTTACAGCTCACTAGCTTGTGTTTGCTGAGCAGGTATTTCTGTAAAGCAGGACCACCCTAGTTTATCAGTGGGGTGGCTGACAGCCCAATTCGAGGGAAACACAACCAGACCCATGGTGGGGGCCACTGTGGGCAAGGGAGGCTGTCCTGTTGCTACTGCCGCTGCAGGCTTGGTGGGCACCTGGAACCATGAGCAGGCTTGTGGGCTGGGTGGAGTCAGGCCAGGGGGCTTGCACATGGTTGTGGGAGTGACTGGAGTGATAGATCCAAGGGAGAGAAGGCTTGAGGTTCCTGTCCCCTGGTATATCCTAGTCTTCCCTGTGTGACAGCCGAATGCCCCTGGGTCTCTTCTCTGTTCCACTGCAGATGCTGTCCGTGAGATCCGGAAGTATGATGATGTTACCGAAAAGGTGAACTTGCAGAACAGTCCTGGGGCCATGGAGCACTTCCACATGAAGCTTTTCCGTGCCCAGCGAAACCTCTACATCGCAGGCTTTGCCTTGCTGCTGTCCTTGTGAGTGCAGGGGTGGGGCAGGGGTGCTGTGTTGGCAGGGGTGCAGACAGCACGGTGCCACTTCTTGGGGCTTCAACTCCTCCTCAGCTCATGTGGGAGAAGCCACACCATCCCTCAACCTCCAGAGGTGGTGTAGGGAGTGGATGAGGGTTGGCAGGGTGGCTGGAGGCCCTGGCTTGCCATACGTTTTCCCCTGGCTATGCAGAAATTGAGTGGTTGAGAGGGATGTTCCCTCCTCTGGAGGAGCAACCTTGGAGCCTAGCCTATACTGTACCTCTTGAATAGGAGCTTTCTGCATTTGAGATGCTGACCTGAGGACAGTGAGCAGGAGGGACTGAGACCCTGCTGCCCCAGGGTCTTAAGTTCAGCACACGTTGGGTTCCCTGGCAGCCTGAATGTGTCGGTGCCTTGGTCAGGGCTAAGGGCTGGTGAGTTGGGCCAGACTTGATTAGTGGGGGGTGTCCCTTCAGGGCTGGGGTACCTTGTTTTCTGCCCCTTGCTTCACTTGTTTCTGATCAGTGGGGCCAGCTGAGAAGCAGATGGAAGCTCAGACCAAGAGTGGATGAAGGTGTGGGAAAGTGCTTGCCATGTGGTCCTGAGAAGCAAGTGTCTTAGTGTTGTCTTAGTGTTTCTGTGCTGCTTGAACAGAATACCTGAGACTGGGTAATGTACAAATTTCTCACGGTTTTGGGGGCCTGATATTTGTGGCCAAGGCACTGGCAAGTTTGGTGCCTGCTAATTCGGATGGCTTCCTCGTTGCTTCCTCTGGAGTGGTGGAAGGAAAGAGT